GGGTTGGTTTTTTTCAGGGAAAGGGGATGTTTTCAGTGCCTGAGCTTCTAACGGGGAGGCAGTGGATACAGACCCGGCGCTCCCAGCCAGACACTTTTGCCGAGTAAATTTCCTGTTTCCAGTCATCTCTGCAGAAATACTTTCACGATTGTGCAATAAAGGATTTTGTCCTCAAAATAACACATGTTCAACCAAGCACTCGTGACTTCCCCTTGCAGAAGTTTTCACCTGTTTCTTGTTCCATGTTTAACAAACATGCCTAAGTACAAGAGCCTAAAATAGCAAATAAATGAAAACGTTTCCCCCTGACTTCGCAGAAAGTTCATGGAGGAAATGAGTAACAACCAAATGCCATTAAATATAAGCACAGTGGATGTTTCAGTGACAGTCACTAGGACTGTGTTGCGAAACTCAGACGGCAAAAGTTTGCCACAGATAACACTCCAACCAGGACATTGTTGGGAAGCTCTTAAATAAATAAATAATAATAAAAAAATATATACACACACAACCATCTGTATCTAAAACAGGAAGAAAAATCCACACAGAAAAGTGCAGAACTAGGTACTTTTATTTATCAGCCTAACAAGGTTTGACTCACAATTACAGCTGCATTAAGTGAAAGCTACTTGCTTCACACCACCACCAAGGCACCTAGCAGGTTATTTAGACCCAGCAAAGTATCTTTATAACACAATTTAAACCACACATTGGAAGCAATGAGAAGAACACAGTTTTATAATTGCAAAATTGATTTACACAAGACCTCGGACCCCATTATCAGAGGTGGCCACAGGCACTGGCACTTCCCATTTGCTCCAGTGTGGCTCTGAGCATTCCGCACTTCTGCAGGGTTACAAAGAGCCACACCCCCAAACCACCCCGTGCATGATCTATACTGATTTCATGTTTACAACCCAAACCACTAATGCCATTTCTACCCTGAAAAGGAAAAGCAAAAGGCCATAGCCTGATCACAGCTCTTAGTACAACAGCTGCATAAAAACTTCCCAGCAGATGGGTTACATGATGCTATCCATGAGGACAGACATAATAACACAAAACTAAAAGTAAGTGTTTGAGCAAACATAAACTAGTAGTGGATCTATCCGTTTTGGTGGTCAGATTGAAGACTTGCAGAAGAGTGCAGATCATACTCACTGGTAAAATAAGACACATAACTTGATATTGGACCAGTACAACAGGTATGATGCTACACACACAAGTCCCAAATTCTGCAAAGGCTACACATATAGGGAAGCAGTATTCAGGGAAGTAAATCATGAGCAAAAAGAACATATATTGTTTGATGAAAAAAAGATCACTTTTCTTAGCTTACTGCAAAATACAAGTGGTCTAAGTACAGCAGCTGAACAAAGTAACTTCTTTCTTCTTAGTGCCTGAAGAGTAAATTAACCGCTACATGTTCTGTTATTACGCTTTAGAGTTGACAGTTGATCAATTTCTTTATTCAATTCCTCTTGCTTTCAATTCTGATCGAACCCGCTGCAGATAATCAGGATCAGGGTAACCAAACCTGGGAGAAGAAGAAAATAATTGTCTGGGCTACTTTTGCAAGGAAGCACTTGGCAGTTCTACAGAACCTTCACATCAACAACTTTGAAAACACAGAGGTGGTAGAGACAGGGTAAAGCTAAAAACTTAAGAGCTGCTGAATTATGTTGTCCAAATCAACACTTTATTTTCAAAGCTGCCTGCTGTCTCACTTGACAACGACAGGGTACCTAAGTATGCATCCTTCTAAAAATCAGACCTGAAGCATATCCACGTGAGCATCCAAAATACAAATACCATGGCACCTCTGGATTTTAAGTAGTGCATCACCAAAAATGTGTGTGAAGCAAAAGATGACTTGGGCAGAGGGGGAGATAAATCAAAACATACTTTTTGCCCTTTTATCATCCTAGCCCAGGAAGGAGGATCTAGACAAGAGACCTTCAGAGCTTGCAGGAAGACACCTGCCCCTGAGAAGCTGCAACAAGCTTGTCCCTTTAAGACTTTTTCCAGGAGCCAAACAGTTTACTGATATGATTAATTACAGATTATATCTTTAAGAACTGTCAGCTGTATGTGCATTAAGGGGCGGAACATTATGACCCTGACTAGAAAACTGTTATACCCTGAGGAATTAGTGATCCATGTAACAGCTACGCCGCGTGGCCTTCAGGCCTGTGTTGTGCAGTGCACACTCCACAGCTGCACGACAGGCTCAGCCAGCTCCTGCTCCGTACCTGTGATTACACCACCTGCATGTCCTTGCCTTTACTTAGAAGCACAGCAAGTCCTCTACAAGTGTGGAACGGAGTTGTCTTCTACTAAGAAAACCCTGTAATAGCTCGAACAAGCAAAATGGGCTAACTCTTTCTATGGATGGGGTTGGCATGGTGCCCTGTGTGCTGCACAGCTCAGGATTCCTACTATCCAAAAGGACGTAACCCTATCTAGAATCTCTTTCTTCTTGCTGTTAGCTAGCTCTGATAAGTAGAAACTAAAACTTTATTTTACAGGATCTGAATGCCATCTTCACTGAGATGATAATGGACCAGCACCTCCTGGCACAAACCAGCCGGTACCACAAGAAGCTGAAATCAGGAGTCCAACCTTACCTGATACCAAGAGCTTGCTGTCCTGTCCTGTACTAGAGGTAGTTTCTAATCAGAGCAGTTACTGAGTAGGTGCTTTACACAGCTCATTGGTGAACGAGTGGCCTGAGGGGTAACAGAAGACTAAGCTCATTCTTTTTCCAACTGCCCAAACTGGTGAAAGTGATTCAAGTCTAGATAAGTGTTCCACTTACAAAGTGACACAATGTGAAAGCTCTAATGCAGAAAATATTCGAGGCAGCCTTCCTGGTACACCTGAGCAACAACACAATTACGCAAAGAGAAGTCTACTTACTTGGTAGCTCCCCCAGTCATGGCAGTTTTGTGGTGAATATCATTCCATGTGATAACATCCTCTTCACCAGTAGTACGCGACTGCCCCACTGTGAAAATCAGTTTTTGGGCAAAGGCTTTTCTGAGGAGCTGCAGAACTTCTTGGCCTTCCTTATTGTCAGGTAAATACGCTCTTCGACAAACTGCCAAATAAGGTTTCCCTGGGTTTGGATGGTCGTCCTGTTTTGTAGAAAAAAAAAAGAAAAAAAACCCCAACAAACACAAAACTCACATTGTATAAGATAAACACTTTGGAAACACGAAAATTGCACACCCCAGTTTTCACAATACTTTTTATCCTGCCTTTGATTCAGAAGGACATAGCATGACTGATGACTGATTTTTGAGGCATTATTTTTCTCATTAAACAATTTCTTTCACATGTATCATTCACATTTTCTTGTCATTGCTCATGCATCCACTGTTATGTGTTTCTTCCCCTTGGCTTTCCCAAATGCATGTCACCCTACTCGGACTTTTTAATTTATCCTATTTTCAGCCCTAGTCATGAGTCCAAGCACGTAACATCAGCTGATTTCTCGCCTGGAAAGTTCACAACCCTGATGACTATTAATTTTTGTCCGCTGGTGTCAGCAGCTAGAATGCCTCCAAGAAGCCTCATCGTACTCGCAAAGTTTTGTTTACATATCACTCCACAGATTTCAGTTCTGTTATTCGCAATGTATAAATTAAACACCGGTAGCTCTTTTCTGGTGCATATGAAAGGGAGGGCTACCATTTGACTATTTGATTCCTACTCTATTACTTAATTGCACCCAAAAATACTGAATTAAACACTTGCAGATTTGTATGGAACTATGACATGTCTCTTCTGGACATGCATTTAAATGATGGAGAAATAGTTCATATTGGTTTAGCTGTGTCAAAAATACCTTTTATGAATCTTTAAGTATACTTACAGTTTGAATACCACCTTTCATATTATATGTAATCTCAATAGTACCACAATCAGGATAACCCTCGAGAGAGGCACGTATCCATTTAGTTGTCATTGTTCCCTCTGGCTGGTTTCCCTTCATGGGTCCATAGACGACGTTACAAATAGGACAAACTCGCTTGTAAGTCATGGCCTGCTTGATGCAGCTTTTGCAAAACGCGTGCTTGCACTTTTCCAGTATTTCTTTATTCTTAATTGTCTCCATGCAAATCGGACACACATCTTCTTCCGTTGTTGCCTTAGCCTGGCTTTCAAAAGAAAGATTATTCTTTTGCCTGCCATCGTATTTCTTCTCAGGTGCTCCTGTAGTTTCTTGATAGGCAAGATCAGAGGACAGTGGTGTCCTATTTTTAATTTGTGTTGAGTCTTCTGTGATAAGAAGGTTCTTAATGTGCTTTTCAGCAGCAGAAATATAGTCTGGTAAACCATTTAAGATGTATTTGTCTTCCTTCTTCCTAAGTTTCACATGCAGATCTTCCAATTCTTTTCCATTAAGCATCATATTTAATATCTTCTTCTGACCTTCTGAAAGCTTCAAGTTGATGAGTTTTTCTCCTAACATTGCACAGGCATGCTGAAATGCATTGATGAAACTTTCAGCAGCATGTGAAGACATATCAGAAGTTTTGACCTTAGGCCTAAATATTATGAGCATCTTCTGGCCACATGAAGCATCTTTCTTTTCTATTACCGTATCAAATTTATCTTTAATGTCTTCAAGTTCTTTGCTTAATATTGTTTCCAACAACTTAAACACGGAAGCATCAACTTCAATTCCATTCCTGAATTCATACAGTTCTGATGATATTTTCATGTTCTTTTTAGCTTGGCTATTCTCACCTTTCTCTGCTAGAAGTTTTTTGGCAGCTGAAATCTCACTCGATGGACCACGGAGTAGCAATTGATTTCCTTCCTCTTTGACAAGAAGTTTTCCAAACCTAGCATTTAATTTCATTATTGCCTCATTTAATGTGTAACTGCTTGTTATGGAAATTTTTTCCTGTCTCAGATCTCCTATGCTTTTCTGGAAAGTTCGGGTAAAACTATCATTAGCTGCTTGTATTAATCCAGGATTTTTATCAGAAGTGAGACAGACTGTTGTGGTTCCATCGTAACGATCTGTACTTCTTATACGCACTCCAAAGCGTTCACATAGTGCTCTGACTTCTTCTTTGCAGGCATGACTGAAATATTCATAGAGAGCTGATGGAACTGTAAGCTCATTCATTTCTTCAGTATTCAGATCACGTTCATTTTTCAAACCACTCTTACTTTCAGAATGTGAAAAATCATGGCTTGGGTCATTGCCTGCAAGGATAGCCTTGAAGTAGTGATAAGCTTTTTCAATATCTGTAAAATCTCCCGTCAATTTCTCAAAGCCATCGACGGCAGGATTTCCTTCTCTTTTTAAATTTGGACATATAATAGCAATTTTCTCCCTTTGCCGTTCAGTGAACATACTGGTATTCAAAGTTGCAGATACTGTAAGAAATATCTAAGGAGAAGAAAAGAAGGTATCAGTATTTCTTTTCTTTTCTTCCCTCAGGTTCTCTGCTTGCTGCTCCTACATTTTGAGTAAGGAAAAGCTCTGTACATCTTAGCAGGGCCAGACTACTACTGACACATTTGCACACACAGTTTCTTTTATGTCACGTGTACTGAGATTACACACACGCAAGTAAAACAATCTGCTAAGTCAGCAGCAAAGACAAAGTTCATTAATGTCATCAGCATTGCAGGAACAACGGCAATAACTTTGCTACTTAAGTCTGAGACTTGTGCCTCGTACCCTCTGCTCCCAATCTCTGGTAACATGATTTACACAACTAATGCCATTTTACAGTGCAAACAGCCATTCTCTGTGACCCAGGTGGTCACGTAGTAATCCCTTTTGCCCTCATTATCAGGCCCTGAAGGTCCTACACACCAAGCAGACAAAATAGAGAGAGAAAGAAGAAATCTCTTTATCATCCTCAAGGTTCCTGGGCACCAGGCTGACTATTCCTCTCCTACACAACCTTGAAAGCCCCAGGCATCGGGCCAACCAGCTGGCAAGGACCACATCACCAACGCTGAAGCAAAGCACCATCTAAAAAAATCAAGTAGTTACAAAGTCCTGAGTGGGAACTTGGACCCCAACTGCTGCTGGACAGTGAGTCCCATGATCCTCGGGTGGCCAGGGACACTTCCACCATTCTCTGCTTCCTCCAAGAGCTCAGTGAATCACTTGCATTTTTTAATGTGTTTTTCAAGTCTAGGTTACAATTGTTATATCAATATGGCAAGCCATGCATTAAGAGTTGACAGGACCCACGGAGGGTCCATGTGACTAGAAACCATAAACTAAGCTGAGCTATGAAATTCAGTGCTACGCTACTTATAAGACTGTATTACACTGATTCTGCTAGCAGAAACCCTCTGCCACTCCGATTATTAATTCTATGCTATGCTGAGCATAAAATCCTGTTAAAATTAAAAAAAAAAAAAAAAAAAGCTTTAACTGTAACCACAACTTAGTGTCATCAGCGTTCTGATCAAGATTCCCAAAAGAACCTGGCTGTCTCCTTAGCATTGGGTGACAGAGACACATCGTCTAACAGCACACGTAAGTTATATTACATTGTTCTTCAATTATACTGGATTTTCTATTTTTCTCTTAGCATCTCTTAAAAATTCCCCAAAGTCATGCTTTAGTAACTCAGGTTTATGGCAGAAAATAAGATTCTGAAAAATAGTAACAAGTGTGTTCACATCCCTACTTTGCACAGGCAGAGGGCTAGGGAAATTTGCAGTATGTTGCCGCAGATGTCAGATAACCACTATGTTTCAGGTGATGCTATACCTCAAAAGGTACATCTGTGCTACTACACAAAAGAGAGTGAACCCTCTGGACCAGATATCCGGCTCCGTAGAGCCAGATTCACATCATCTAACATGCAGCCTGGCCCCAGCCTCTGCCCCAGCACACAGTTGATCTTTTCTGCAACACTTTTAGTCAAAAGCATCTAAAATAATGTTTGCTGTGCTACATCCCACCAGGGCGGATACTTTTTTAAATGCTGAGGTAAGGGATGGAAGTATTGAGGGCTGTCTGAGGTGCAAAACATGCCGAAATAGCGTTCGAGGTCCATGCAGCAGTGAGATGATCCAAATCCCATCTAATTTTTCTACCTTTTGGGAGCAGTCCGTGGCGTGTCCCATGCCCCAATCCCTGCCAGGGTGCAGCTCTGGGCACAGGCCGAGGCCTGCTAGGCCCGGCGCTCAGAACTC